CTTAATTAGAGCTCAATTTGCAGTGAGCCTAGGGTACTTTCACCTGTCTGTGTGTGTGTGTAGTAGGTGTGTGTTTCTGTGTCAGACATGTTTGTTTGGCGGTCCTTGTCCTCCCAGCTGTTGCTAACAGTTGCCACAAGGCGTGTCTCTTAGGCTCAGAACAACATTTTGTTCCTGAGCGCTCAATAACGTAGGAAAAAGGCGAGCACATGCCAAAGCGTGAACACACAGGCTTAAAAAAGACACGCACACATACATCCACACACAGATATTAAGTCGAATTACTCTTAGCTGCCAGTCAATGTGGGACATTTCTAGAGCGATGTTGTGTTGTAGAGGTAGAAACATCTCTCAGGAGGAATTTAAGGATTGTGTTTCACCGTTCCAATATCCCTGTCGTGAAGGGAGGATTAGCTTTTCATGTTTTAGTATCTACTGGGGATTAATTTACAGTGGCAGCCAGTAACTGAAGCCTCACTGTAACGTGTGTGTGTAAGAGGCGACTCTCTCACTCTCTCCTGTTTACTGGAGCGCTCACAGGGCGAGAGCAGTTGACCTCCTCTGGCGGGGAAGGGGTTAAGCGTCAGGAATGATGGAGGTGTTGGTCGCACGCAGGCTGCTGCTGCACATTTTCTCTCTTTCTTTACACTTTCCATTTCCCTCACTCTCCTGCCCTCTGGGTTCTTATTTTTCTCTTCACTCTGTCTTTTTTCACACTTCTTTTTTTCTTGCTGCCGACTTACATTTGTCTTCAGTGACTTTGTTTGGTTTGTTTTGCAGCGCAGTGAAGCTGTTTTCATTATGCTTTCAGGTCCTTTCGAACACATCTGCAGCAAACAGAGGCACCGATTTGTCGGTCGACAGATAAAATGATTGGCAACTATTTGTGTTCAGCCTCTCAAATATTGCGATTTCTTGCTTATCTTGGTTTGATATCATATTAAACTAAACATGTCTGGGTTTTGAACTGACACATTCGGTTATTTAAAGACACCAGCTTGGCAATTGAGGAACTGGGATGGACCATTTTCATTATCTTCTGACATATTGTAGACCTAAGTTTAATTAAAGGTAGGGTAGGTAAGTTTGAGAAACCGGCTCGAGATCGCTAGAATTTGAAAATACACAACCGGAGAAAATCTGCCACTTCCTTACAGAGCCCCTCCTCCAACACACACAAACGCGCACATGACCAATGAGGGCACGAGATAAGTTTGTGCACAGATGGAAGGCTGACAGGCAGGTAGGCCATCCAGTTATTTTAGCCGGGCCGGCTCAGATGATTGGTCGTGCTTTTTACAGTACTACGGCTTCAACAGATGAAATATTTTAATGGATTTTTTGTCAAAGCACTTAAGATATTCATTGCTATCGGGATGTTAAGAGCATTCCATGGAATATAACAAAAAGTGTATCTCGAGCCGGTTTCTCAAACTTACCTACCCCACCTTTAAGTAATGAGCGAATGATTAGGCGATAATGAGAACAATCTTGAATTGCAGCGTACAGTACAATCCAGTTTATCCTCACCACTCCGAATGCTTTTACCTGTAAGAATGTGAAATGGTTTCAGAAATAGAGAGCTTCCTCTCTGTGCTTATCTCTCCTCATCCTCTCTACAGCCCTTTTGTTTCTCATGCTCTCTCTGTCCCTGTGCTGTTAGCTGGGTGGTGGGGGGTGTTGGGGGGGAGTGTGAGTCAGAAGGAAATGAACCCAATAAATCACGCTGTGGTCCCTGTCTCCTACCTGCAGCTCTGAGCCTCACTCTGTTGTCCTGTGGAAACCTTGCAGCAGCATCCTCACTGAATGTCAAGTTGGGTTTTTTTATACATTTAAATAATTATTGGATTGTCCCCTGTGAGCTGAAGTGAATGTTATGACCTTAGGTGTGTGCCTTATTCAAGGTTTTTCATGATTTGTTTGAGAATAATGCACCTTTTTTAGTTAATACATTATTTCTACGGGCTATTCTCTAAATCCTTAGTAATTAATAGAAGTTATGCAGGTCCATGAACATATGTTGAGTACAATATGGAATTTGTCACTTTCATAAAAAACAAATAATCAGAATTAAAATCAGTAACTTCACATTTATTTGGAACATTTGACATTACGCACAATATAAAGTGTTCAAATGTAGTAGAATAATAAGGCTTTTTTTTCCCACTGATAAACAGAAAATCCGTTTTTCGTCCACACGCCATTTAGCTAGTGAATGATTCAATTTGTAGCACCACTGGCCGACGCTTAGCTCCATTGGTAGAGCTGAGGGCCCATTAACTGGGACATCAAGCTGAAGACCCTGGTCCATTTGCCTCATGTGATCCCCTCGCTCTCATGTGATCCCCTCTGTCTCATGTGATCCCATCTGTCTCATGTGATCCCCTCTGTCTCATGTGATCCCCTCTGTCTCATGTGATCCCATCTGTCTCATGTGATCCCCTCTGTCTCATGTGATCCCCTCTGTCTCATGTGATCCCATCTGTCTCCCCGTTTCAATACCGTCTAAACACAGAAGGCACTGGTTGCCCGAAAATATCTTTTAAAATAGTTTCTTACAAACCACTCATTAGATAACCATTCGTTTTTTGGGCAAATCTATTACCCACTTGCAATATTTTAAAAGCTTTTGGCTGTACAATTGAGAATACATTTGTGTCCTAAACATAAGTGTAAAACACAAACAGTGCTTTATATACTTCAAGTGTTTGAAGTTGTTGCTGAAGTTTTGTTGAGTTTCCTGAGGACTGAATAAAAAACTATCTTCAAGTCCTGGATTGGATTGCTGTTTGGTTAGACTTGTCCAATCTGGGACATTGTTGTTTTAAGGCTTTATATTCTGGTGTCTTTTAGTAGTCCTCTTCCAGTGTTTACTGCAGTCATGTGACCCGCTGCCATCAGTGTTATTGCTGAAACATAAGAGTTTAAAACAGCTCCGCTCTGGTGTCATCAGATCATCAGAGCTCCACTTCGTCTCAGTGGCTCCCTCCTGCCTGCTGGCAAACACCAGCCCAGATGTCAGGCCAGTTGTTTTCCAGCCGCTGCATCCTCTCTGCTGCTGTGACAGAAAGCGGAGGATGTGGAAGCAGTTGGGCGACAGATGTCAGATGCAAGTGTCTCCCGTGTCAGCCATGACGACATGTCGCTCCTCCAGAGTGTCCGTCACTCTCCTCTTCCTCTCAGACGGCTCTTGAGGAGAGCTCGCTCTTAAATCAGAGTACAACACTCTTACAACGTTTAAAAAACACTCCACAAGTTTTCCCAGCTCTTGATAGGGGATTGGATATTTGTTCTTTATTAGGATCCCCATTAGCACTAGCATGAGCATTAGCCGCGTTCACACCAAGTACTTTGCCGTACTTAGTGCCGGCACTTATTACCCCAGGGCACTAAGTACAGATCGCGTTCACACCGGAATAAGTCCCCTGAGGGAAGATTACGCAAATGAGCCGCTGACGTCACTTCGTCTTCTTCTTCTGCTTTGGGTTTACTGGCAGGCCGCAAACCACTTCACGGTGTATACTGCCACCCGAAGTCCCCGGCCGGAAGTCCCCGGAGTTGGGGACTAGCTTCAGTAGAAGCTGCTGGGACTCCCAGCAGCTTCTACTGAAGCCTTCCGAGTAAATCGCCAGAACGCCGACACCTCATCTCGACCGCTCCCATGTTTTATTTTGTGTTGCCTTAAGTTAGTCTCTCTGCGTTTGTGCGCTGGGCGAATGCTAATGCTAATAATGCTAATGCGAGGATAATAAAATGGCGGCTCTACAAAACGTTTCAGAGTTTTACGGGGCGTGGTTTGCAATTCGCCCAGCCAATCAGAACTGAGGCACTTTTTTCCCCCAGGAAAGTACCATCTCTCAGCAGGCACTAAAAATGGGGGTAAAAGTTCCCGGCTTGAAGTACTCTTTTTGGTGTGAACCGTAAGGGGTACTAACGGAACTAAACGCGAAAAGTACGGGGAAAAGTACTCCGGTGTGAATGCGGCTATTGGCTATTCTTCCTGGGGTCCTCACACACACACAACATACATAAACATACATAAAACAAAACGGCTCATAATTTCATGCAATTTACAATGCTATATGAAGTGAAAACTAAAATGGTCATCCAATTTATGGCATATGGGATTTTATTATTATCACAATAAATGAATCCTAGTGATTATTAATGATCAGGATAACCAGGAACATTCTCAGATGAGTGACTAAAAAGCTATCTAGCTCTCTATGATGGTAGAGAAGTGAAAAAACAACTTGTAGTAGTAGTATACTCCATGGCAGCAGTAAGGCTCTTCCCCTCAGGGCTTCCAGGCTTCACAAAGTTTCATCCCAAACCCCCCCCCCCCCCCCCCCTCTTGTAGTTGTGCCTGTGAAGTGCACCTGCAGTGCTTCAGGGATGTGATTTTTCAGCTTTATTGGACACACAAGTCCTATTTGATGTTGGACGACATGTAAAGCGTTTTCCTGCCTTATTTGTTTTCTCGGAGAAAAACCCATCTTGCATTTTGTGCCCGAGTGCAGATCAGATGATGTGTTTGTCCTGCGTTTCAGTACACACCTGCTGACATGGTTTCCGGGAGACACTAAAAGATTTAAGCCGCGCCAGAAGTGAATGTCTGCTGACATGTTTCAGAATAAATGCTGAATTAGGACGCTGGAATTAAACTCCTCAAGCAGAGGAAGTGAGATGCAGCTCAGGAGTCAGCAGAGACTTGTGACACACAAATGGCAGCCGCTAACACGACATCAATTATACAAGCTCACTCCTAACAGTGCAGCTCTCACACTCTTCATTATTCCACAGCCTCTGTCCACACATCCACTGCTCTGTGGTGTCGTTGTAGTTTCTAATGCGCTGTTAATACACACAGCAGCAGTCATTCACTGTGGCAGGACACACAAGGCCGCTCTGTTGTGTCTCATTTGTACACATTAAGCTGTTAAGTTGACTGACAGTCTCTCCTCTCTCCCCCCCCCTCACCCCTTCTCTCTCCCTGCCAGCCGGTGGCCGAGCCCATCCCCATCTGCAGCTTCTGCTTAGGGACCAAGGAGCAGAACCGCGACAAGAGGCCGGAGGAGCTCATCTCCTGCGCCGACTGTGGCAACAGTGGTGAGTGCTGATCTGAGAACAGTGAGACACGAGGCCATAGCTCTGTCTGGGGGGTACACTTCTCTAGTTTTGGGGGTACATTTCTCTAGTTTTGGGTGTACATTTCTCTAGTTTTGGGGGTACATTTCTCTAGTTTTGTGATTAAAACAACGACCGGAGAAGAGGATGCAACCAGCTGATCCAAAATGAACTTTTATTTGTCTACCAGTCAAGTGGCTTATCAATGTTTACATTTTAACAGTTTTACATTTTGGCTTGTGGTGATGGAAATGTATAAGCCACTTTTTTTTTTAACTGTCCAAAGAGGTTGTATTCTACAGTTTGCCTGAATGTAATCATTGCGTAGGTGTGTAGTGTGATTCTGTGTAGTTTATTTATGGCATCCCGTTGGGTTTAACGTCATCTGAACAGGACATCGCACGCTCACTGCTTGATAGCGCGCGAAGGTCCGTTTTATTTGAAATGCAAGTTTGCGTCCAAATGGTTGGAAGATGAGGAGGAAGGACAATCAATACTGTATATAGTCAATGTGAGGTAAAGTGTGTCGCCAATGTAACCGGTTAAAACTCCAAGTGGCGATGAGGTCTTAAAAGGTATTACATTTGACTTCAGGATTCCTGCATATACCCTCAACATGTTCTTCCTTGCATGTAAGGCTTAATCAAAATAGATCAAATCAAATATCGGTCAATATTGAAAATCCAAGAAATGTAGATATTTGGTCTAAAGTGAATTGTGCTTGTTACAAAATATTTCCATAATGAGGTTTTAATGTCAACTGTCATCACCGGCTTCATGTGGATATAATGACTTAGTGGGCAAAGGAAAAGGACAGAACAATAATAGAAACATACACCACTTTACTATTATGCAGCCTTTAAAATCAAGGAAAGACCAAACTTATGCCATATTAGAATATCCAACATCTGAGTCTTTTCACTATATCATAGTAATATGAATATATACTCAGCCCTGCCTGCATGCAGTTTAAAAAAAAAGTCTCCAACAGTGATAATTGAGTTCACAAAAGCTATGACTAAAATATTAGTTATTAATCCTATTCAGTGACAAACATAACAGTAGACCTTCTAGTGAGGATATCATCATGCAATTGTGTTGATGGAAAGACTAAATGTAGTTTTAAAAATATATATTTTGCCAGTCTCTCTGTATTTCTGTTGATATAAAACACACTATTAGAGATTTTTCCCACACAGCAACCACATCGAATTCAATGTGAAATGTAAGGCATCTGAGGATTAAAGCTGTTTTCATTTCTACGATTTACATAAAATTCCCAGATTTCTAAGTCAACTAAAGCCTAAGACAGAACGAGGCTGAGTGAATATGATTTAAAAACAAGGACACTTAGGAAACAGACAAAAAAAACTGACAGAAAACATTTGTTTTTCTGTTTATTTCTAAATAGTTATTTGCAGTTCAAAAGCAAATACCAGCACAAGCAGACATTCTGTAACCATTAAGTATAATCTTTGGCGGCTGCACACAACTATTTTATTATTCTCCTGCCATTTTTTGAAAGAGATGAACACAGTAATAGACAGACTCTGGCAGCGGTCTGTGTTTTCACAGAGATTTGGATATAATTACGGTGTTCCTGCTGCCGAGTGAACGCAGAGGAGACATTGAGTTTCTCTTCTTCCCTCAGCGGGTTTCTGTCCCGCACAAGACCATCTTGTTTGCTGCTCTTCAAAACAGCGAGAGCTCATCTCTGACAGATTGTCTTTTATGTTTGAACACTCTCTTTGCAGCCGGCCTTGATGTAGGGAGGGCTTTCAATTCCAAAAGGAGCTGTTTTTACAATGATGCAAGTGGGTCACGGCTGTCAGTCAGCAGCGCAAAATAAAAAAAGTCTCACTTGTTTGTGTGTGTGTGTGTCTATCTATCTACCTGCAGGCCACCCGTCCTGTCTCAAGTTCTCCCCAGAGCTCACAGCGAGAGTCAAGGCTCTGTGGTGGCAGTGCATCGAATGCAAGACTTGCAGCAGCTGTCAGGATCAAGGCAAGAATGCGGTGAGTGGAAATGCGGCCGAACGGCAGCTGAGAGCATCTCTTCTGCTTAAGTGCCACACTGAGATGCTGATAGACATGTCTGTGGTCGCTGGGATTGAGCTATTTTAGTCAGCATGCCACTCTCTTCTCCTTACCTGTCGAGTGAGGTGTCATTGTTATTCAAATGCTCGTAGGGAGGTTTGACGGCGAGACAAAATGTTCAACACGCTGTCAAGATGCACGATGAGAAACTGGTCTTTAAAGATGGAGAATACAAGGGAAACGAGGAAGATGCTTGATCCAATCCTGATGGATAGGTGCAAAGATCTGTCTAACATTACATTACAAGTATTTTAATGCATTCTTGTGCATAAATGTGTGGAATTCTAGTCAGGTAATTAAAGGAGCTTTGATCATGCTTCACATAATGTATCCTCAAACAAAAATGAAATGCATCTAATTGGACATGAGCGACACGTATTTAATATAAGGAGTGTTTGTTTTTCGACCTGACAGAGCGATATATTTCTATATGAATGAACAAACAGGAAAGTTTAAACGCATGAAAGAAAAACGTACCTATCAATAGGTTGTACCAATATGCTTATGGCAATCATTAAAAAAATGTAGGCTCAAGAAGAGAGAGTGAGAGAAAATGTAATGTCAGAGTTTAAGAACGCCCAATTTGTTCCAGAGAGCTCTCCTGCAATGACTTTATAAGAACTCACACTTTGACCTATTATATCGTTTTAGCTAATTGAACTGGATCCTTTAGTCTCAACTTGCTAATACTCAGTACTTTGTGTGTGTTTGCTGTGCAGGACAACATGTTGTTCTGCGACTCCTGTGACCGGGGCTTCCACATGGAGTGCTGCGATCCTCCCCTCACGCGGATGCCCAAAGGTAAACAAAAACAAGACTCCTTTAAGTCATCACCTCTGTGCAGCCTCCCTTGAATCTGACCGTAATGTCTTGAGATCTCAGGAAGCCCCTAATGCTTCACCATTAAGCGCTAATGTGTTTGAAACGTCCCTAAGCATGTCGGTGTCTGCTCTAAATCCACCTCGGGGTTTATGAACCTGTGCTGTGACTCTTTCTCTCTCAGGCATGTGGATTTGTCAAATCTGCCAACCCAGGAAAAAGGGAAAGAGGCTGTTACATGAAAAGGCAGCACAAATCAAACGGCGCTACAGCGCACCGCTGGGCCGGCCCAAGAACAGGTAGAGAAACGACGTCTTCTTCAATGTCTGCTGAGTCTGTTTCACGGGGGGGGGGGGGGGGGGGAGCAACAGCAACGTGGCCTAGCCAAGTGTCAAAAGAGGCAAAACATTCCCAAAAAAGACCTCAGAATCCGCCTCGAAATGTCATGTCATTTATTACATTTTGATGACATATTTGTTGTTCTTTTTTTGCAGCATCACACATATTCAAACGTAAACTACTCCCTTCAAAAAATAATTACATGTTTTACAATCTAGTTAAAGGGGACCTATCATGCAAAATGCACTTTTTTATGTCTTTTATACATAAAGATGTGTCCCCGGTGTGTCAGGGAACTCACGCAGCGTCAGAAAATAAAACCCTCTCTTTTCCTCCGTACCCAAATCTCTAAAAACGGGGCTACAACGGAGCTGATCCAGATTTGCGTCCGATATGACGTAATATCGGAAATGTAGGCTGGCTTTACACCCACGGCCCTATCAGAAAAGTTGCTATCAGAAACAATGCCCGACTGTTTTGGACATAATATGGTCGGTGTTTACATTAGCATCGCTAACACTCAGAGCTAACCTGTACTGGAGAGCATGTGTGTGAAGAAGCAGGAAATAAAAAGGAACTCACCTTGTGGTATAACCGGCAAGAGAGAAAGCCTTTGAGCTCCATACTGTTTCAGAAATAATCCTTGATAATCCATGATATGGCGTTTCATCACGGTAGTATTTCGTTTAGACAGTAGCTGCCGGGTCCCGCATGAGCGCTTTATACCCCAAATCAACACTTTTGAAACAGGAAGTGAAATTGAGGGATATGAGGCATGGCTAGAATGGGTGATCTGTTTGATATTTTGAGCAAACCACTTCATAGACATGTTTTTTATATATTTGTATATATCTGAGACCTATGCTATTGCCTAAAAATAGCATGATAGGTCCACTTTAAATGAACATGGGAAATTGTTGAGGGGCAATTTTTTAAACACATATGTACCAACCAGTCTGACTCGGACTCAGTCTCTGACTCAGTCTCTGACTCAGTCTCTGACTCAGTCTCTGACTCAGTCTCAGTCTCTGACTCAGTCTCTGACTCAGTCTCTGACTCAGTCTCTGCCTCAGTCTCTGCCTCAGTCTCTGCCTCAGTCTCTGACTCAGTCTCTAATTCAGTCTCTGACTCAGTCTCTAATTCAGTCTCTGACTCAGTCTCTGACTCAGTCTCTGACTCAGTCTCTGACTCAGTCTCTAACTCTCTGCCTCAGTCTCTGACTCAGTCTCTAACTTGCCCCTCTCTCTCCTCGTCAGACCGGGCCGGCCCTTTAAGAAGCTCGGCGGGCGCGGTCGGAGGAAGCGCTCGGCCTCGGCGAACTCGTCCTCCAGCTCGTCCTGCGAGGGTTACCCCGGAGACGACCGGCTGCTGTTCTCGATGCGGGACGACGACGACATGTCTCAGGGCAGCCTGCGGTTCAACAACAAGACCAAAGGCCTCATCGACGCCCTCACGAAGTTCTTCACCCCGTCGCCCGAGGGCCGCAAGGCACGGCAGGAAGTGGTGGATTATTCACAGCAGTGCCGCATCCGGAAGAAAGCGTGTCGTAAAGGAGAAGGAGACGATCGAGGAGGTGAGGACTGGTGGCCGTGTGTCTGCTAAAAACACATTTTACTGCCACTGCACGATGACTTGCAGTCTGCCAATGTGTTTTATGCAAGATGTTGTTCATTTTTTGACAAAAAATAATACAATTTTTCAATAGATGTTTTTATTAAATTACTTTAAAAAGTAACTATGAATTTTAGAATATAATCACGTTAACTGACCAAAAATGGCATTAATAAAGGTTTTGTGCTTGACAGGGCATTCATAAACTAACACACTGTAAAAAGAATGTTGCAATAGTACACTAACAAAATTACAACCTAACCCTGAGACTGTGAAAATGGCTATGGATTTTAAATCCTAAATCTTAAAAATGTTCACGACATAAATTGTTAAAAGTATAATGGAGCCATCCGAATCATGACACACAAAAAAACTGCATCTTCATGCAATATTTCTCTTTGTGAGATTGTCAGCTAGCTGCTTTCCTAACAGACCATCCCTGATGTTACTTATTTGTAAATTGTAGGTCGAGGGTAGTAATGGTGCACAATTGTTTTGTCATTTTCTGCCTGTGAAAATTGTTGCCTATGCATCGAAATAAATAGCTTTGTAAGATAAAGTGGCCACCTGCAGTTCTCTCTCCGCTGAGCTTTGAGGACAGCGTGGAAGAGAAAACATGTGACCGAGCATCAGGAACATTCACTTCCTGTTTCTCTGGCCCCTCTGTCTGTGATTCAGCAGGTTTATAAACCTGTGTGAATGCAAGTGATGACTCAAAACGACTGTAGCCTATATATGAATGAAAGGCCACATCAACCACGATAAAATGTGTATATACAGTATATGTGCCTACGTGGTTAAAAGTCTCAAAATTAGCTATCTATGATTTATTTTACTTGTAATGTGCTATATAAAATAACATTTATATTTTGAGCAATAAACTTTAATTTTCTTAGGTTAATGGCGTCATAAGATATGGCAACAGAGATTTAAAAACTTCTCTCAAAACCTCAAAAGAAGCATCAAAGGAAAATAAATGGTACTTGGTACAACCCTATAAACTACAGGAGAGCAAACTTTATGATATAAAGAAAACCCAAATCTGTCTGATGGTCTTGCCTGTGATAAATTAGCAAAGTCCCCCTGATTTAGAATGAAAATATTAGGGTTTATATCAGGGAAAGCTGTTGTATAAATGCTCCAACTGCCAACAATCAGTCAAACTCACACATTTTAGCACTCGGCCTCTCAAGCTTCTCACTGGATATGCACCAATGTTGACTCTGTGTTTGATCCCTGTAGACAATCAGGACGGCAGCGACTGGCGGGACGAGGATGAGAAACTCCCCGGCCACGAGAACCTGACGGAAAAAGACATCGAACTGTTCAGACACATCCAGGAGCTCGCACTGCAGGTACAGACGCAGAATATTAAATGCCGTTCAAATCTGACCTGACGAGGAGTCAAGTTTTATAGTGAGGGAGCCTGGGACACACTGTTGAGTCTCTGACTGAGGGGGGCCATGCTGGGTTCATAAGACGTGATATTATAAATGTCATTATTATGTTATGGCGTAGTTGCAAGCATTGTGAACCCGGAAATGTTGAGTACACCAAGGTTTTATGGTAGAAATTAATAGTACGGGTCCCCAGCACATAGAAACTGCCGGATGCTAACTTGCAACTGTTTGACAATTTGCACAATTAGCATAAGGCGCTTTCACACTGGAGTACTTTTCCCGTACTTTTCCCAGAAATAGTTCCGATAGTTCTGGGATGTTGCGTTCACACCAAAAAGATTTTTTCGGGAACCTTTTCACCACTTTTTAGTCCCTGCTAGAGGGCATGGACTTTCCTGGGGAGAAAAAGGTTTCAATTTCTGATTGGCTGGGCGAATTGCAAACCTCGCCCCGTAAAACTCCGAAACGTTTTTGTGAAGCCGCCATTTTATTTCCTCGCATTAGCATTATTAGCATTAGCATTAGGCCAGCGCACCAACGGAGAGAGACTAATTTATGGAAACACAAAATAAAACGTGGGATCGGTGGAGTGATGAGGAGGTGTCGGCGTTTCTGGCGATTTACCCGGGGCTTCGAGTGGCGATTTACTGCCACCCGAAGTCCTGGAGTCCGGGGGGCTCCGGGACTTTGGGTGGCAGTATACGCCGTGAAGTTGTTTGCGGCCTGCCAGTAAACCCAAAGCAGAAGAAGAAGAAGTGACGTCAGCGGCTTCATTTGCGTAATCCTCCCTCAGGAACTTATTCCGGTGTGACGGTGATTTACTAGATAGTTCCGGGGAAATAAAAGTTCTGGGAACTATTCCTGGGAAAAGTACTTGGTGTGAAAGCGCCTATTAGTTGCGTTAATTGAAATGGATGGCATTATAGCCGATACGATAATACTTTAATGGTCAGATCAAGTCTGAAATTTGACTTGCATCACAGCAGCTCCATGTGTAACATCAACATAGACAAATATACAGGCACAATACATGAAAAACAAACATTTTTCAAAGACCCTTTAGCGTGCATTTGATCTGGGATTTAGCTCTTTAGTGAGGATTGACTGATGCAAAAAGGAGTGCTTCAGTCTGACTTAATTGAATATGGACCATTTTGGAGTTGTTATGGGGGTTATCGAGGATGCTAAATACATTTCTGATATTTTCAGGATCAAAAATGGCTGTTTGATCCAGGAAGTGGCCATATTTGTACTCTCGGTGCATAGGGCTATATCGGTAATTAATGCTAATCGTGCAAATTGCCCGACATATTGGCATCCAGCCGTTTCTATGTGCTGGGGAACCGTACTATACATTTCTAACATAAAACGTATGAACTCAACATGTGCGGGTTCACAATAGGGCTCTATGGGCTGGCAACTAGACTATAAACCCCCAGAGTGCATAGGAGGAACTGAAAGTCAGTGGGAACTTGGTCCGAGTCAACAACAGCCAGGTGTTAAAAGGTTCAGGTTAGACGAGCTCTGTGGGATGAAGGCACATTTGTGGGTGGAAAAGTCAATGAGCTGTGAGACCATTGTATTTTATTACAACATTAATTTGCCATAGATCGTCTGACAGATTTAACATGATATCAGAAGCTCCATCACCATGTGTGATCGACCACTAAAGGGGCGGGTTCAAATGAGCAATACATGCAAATAATTAGGGGTGATTGACGGATTACTACAAGAGGAATAAAGTGATTTGGTTATATTGGACATTTGCTTGAGTTCCACATTCTGCCTGTGATACTCTCGTGTGTGAAAGAGCAAGGCTGCTCAGTGTAAACATACAAATCATAATCAAGATTATATTGAATATTTACTCACACACTGTGGAAATATGATTCATTTATTGTACTTGTTTTAGATATTACAGTAATCTACTGAGCAGAGAGGGTGATTTATAAAACAAAACGGGTGATTGTGAAACAAAAATCGTCACCATCTTATTTTCAGCCAAACATTTTAATTTCCACATAAAATTTGATTAAATGACCCGCCTTAGTCTCTGCCTTGTCTTAGTTTAGCACAGACACTTGATGTTGATGTCAGAGTACATCCTCTGTTGGATGGAGATGATATGGAGCAGACTAAAGACAGAGTAACACAGCCAGAGCAGTCACAGAGAGGAGATGGAGATTACATTAACGTTCCTCGAGCAGCAGCAGATTGACCGGCTGTTTGTCCAGCGTCACAGGAGTCATATCAAAACACTATCCAACTGAAATGTTCACACCGGTGTTTAAGTGTTGCATGCAGGCAGAGTAGTAAACGTTAATGATGTGTGAAAAGGACAGATGTGAGTATCTAGGTTGAGTTGCTGTAGAGTGAAGAACACAATCATCATAAACAGGAAGGGACTTCCAAACTGCTCTCGTAAATCTCTGAGCTCCACTTAAAGCTCCATCGCTGCGCTAGCAGGTAGCCGGCTCTCTCTGAGTGTCATAGCAAGTGGCTTTTCTCTACTGAGTTAACTAATTCACTGTATGAGCTCAAATGCTCACTGCAGTGGCTCAGGTTTGAGCGTGTGCAAGCCGCACAAAAACGATTGGCACACATTTTCCACGAGTTTATGCAAACTTAAAGTGGACCTATCATGCTATATTTGAATAATATAGTGTAGGACCATACCTATATAAGGCATATTTATACTTTTTTTTTTTTCAAAATACCAAACAGATCATGCATTTTAGCCATGCCTCATTTTGCTCAATTTGACATTTTTTAGCTCTGTTTTAGCAAGGGCAGATTCAGTGAGAACAGCACCATCTAGAGGCCTGGCATATGTACTACAGCGTCTCCAGCGCTTTCGAACGGCAATGGCCATGGCTGTCTCCTCCTGATTGGTGGAGTTGGCCCAATAGCCGTAGCGCCACTGTCCTGACGTCAGGACAGTGTTCAAATGTGGATCAGTTTTTATCAGATCCGTTGCAGCCCCTTTTTTTAGAGATTTGGGTATGGAGGGAAATAGAGAGGGTTGTGTTTTCTGACACTTGGTGAGTTCCCTGGAACACCGGGGACACATATTCATGTATAAAAGACGTACAAAATGCATTTTGCATGATAGGTCCCCTTTAACTAATTCACTGTATGAGCTCAAATGCTCACTGCAGTGGTTCAGGTTTGAGCGTGTGCAAGCCGCAAAAAAACGATTGGCACACATTTTCCACGAGTTTATGCAAACCTAAGCATATTTTGTAATGAGACTAAGGGCTTTACAGACATGATGGCTGCAAATAACTCATTATAAAGTAAAATAATGATTTCAGAAAGATGTTTGAAATACTTTGACAACAGGAGATCTTGGTAATCTACATATAAAGAAAACATGTTGACTCAAGATTTTTAACCTTTCAACCTTTTAGTGACAATACATTTGTTGTTTCAAATAGCTTACTCATATTAATATTTAGATCTTCGTTAGGTAGTGTAAAATCCCAAAAAGTACGACCATTATTGTTTTGTATAAGTTTACACTTTTCAACAATTCTTCCTCAGCCGCTCCCTGGTGTTTAAATGATGATACTGTTTATTCTTGATTTCCCTCCAAATGAGTAGGGGGTGCGCCCTCTGGTGTTCCAGAGAGAACTGCACCCAATAACACATGGAGCAGAAACACCTCGTGCATGCTTCGACCTCGCATAATTATAAACACCGCTTCACTGATGTGTCACTGATGATTTCAGATCTGTGTTTTATAAATTGGGGTTTTCTATTTTCTATGTTGTTGTGTTTTAAAATGTTTTTTACATCATGTAAGGGTTTTCAGTCTGTGCTGGCTATAAGTATGGTTTTATTGTCTCGTGCTTATTAGTTTATTTTTGTCTTATCGGTTTTGTCTAAATGTATTTATGTTGTTTTGAAATGTGCTATATAAATAAAGTTTGATTGGATTGGATATCCAGGAGGCCCTTTCATTATAATCTGACCAATTGATTTATGATCTGCCAATCACTCCGGTTAAACCCTGCACCTGACCTTTTCCCGTTTTCTCTTTTCTTCCTTCCCCCAAACAGAAAGTGGGGGTGACGGGGCCACCAGACCCTCAGATGCGATGTCCGTCAGTCATCGAATTTGGAAAGTTTGAAATCCAGACGTGGTATTCGTCCCCCTACCCCCAGGAGTACAGCAGGTAATGAAACACAGAGACATAATGTACCACAGTCCTCGTAGGCGGCGCCATCAGCAGCAGTGTGATAAAGCTCCATTATTAACCTGTTTACTCTCACACCTACTATAGCAGGGAACCATCAGAGCAGAGGAGGTGTTTCTGATTTGTGTATTTTTATGTTTGTAACATTTAAAAATGTAATTAGACTTACTCTGTTACCAAATGTGCAGCTATTTCTTTATTTTTATTTGAAAGAGGAGTAAATCTTACCGACACTTTTAGGTGCACACACATTTATACGAAACCATACAATGTTATTTGCTACTTTCAAAACAACAGCTGTGATACGTTTTAACAACTTTTATTTTGGATAATCTGCCAATTTTGTATTTAATTAAACGAATCCCTTGTCCCTTAAACTGGCAACAAATAGCAAATGTTGTAATAAAATAGTTTTAGGAAAACCAGCAGATATCCAAATCTGAGAAGCTGGATTCAGAGTTTGCAAATGTCGCTATTGAAAATAAACAATTGTCAAGACGGCTCCAGCTTTTTACAACTTTTCTGTCACTCACTTCTTCCCCTTCGCTCTGCCCTGTCCAGACTACCGAAGCTGTACCTGTGTGAGTTCTGCCTGCGCTACATGAAGAGCCGCAGCATCCTCTACCAGCACATGAAGAAGTGCAGCTGGTTCCACCCCCCCGCCAACGAGATCTACAGGAAGGAGGACGTCTCTGTTTACGAGGTGAGGAGCTGCTAGCTGCTAATGTGCTAATAATGTGCAAGAGTGATGGAGTAACCTGCGCCATCATCCTCACTTCTTCATAACTTGCACCTTGTTTTTTACTCTAGCCCTGGTTGTTGCCTCAGACTAAACAATATAGTCCGGTCAAAGTTAGGGCGGCCACAAACAACACATTTTCTATCAAACTATCAATTTATCAGATTAATCTAAATTATTAATTATTCACATCTAATATTTAACTGAACATTTAATTAAAGTAAATTATATTTTATCAAACTCTATGTCAGTGTATCATTTAGCACCAAACCACCTAAATACATGTTCACATATTTAAGTGTAACGGCCCGTCCACACTTTGAATGGGCTGACGTCACGCTTTGCCGAACTGCATTGTGGTTCCGTCGCTTCGCTTTGCTCACGTTGCTCGCTTCAAAAGTTGAGAAAAGTTCAACTTTTGAAGCTTCGACGGAAGCGTCAGCCAATCAAATCATATGCCAGTACAAGCTCTAGCCAATCAAACCGCGTGCTTGTGTGTCCGGGGCGGGAGATTCATGTGATTGGTTGTTGGTCGAGTTTCAGACACGCCTGCCGGCAAGCTTCAACGCACGCTGCCGTGTGGACGCTGCGTAAAACTGTGCATCAAGATTTGCATTTTAATACTTTGCTTATATTTTTACAGAAGGTTTTATATGGAGTGAGTTTTAGTGTAATATTAAAAGAGTACTGTAGTGGGAGCAGTATTTTTACAGGGCATATTATTCTATCAAAATATGCTACCACTTTAATCTTAAACCAAGATATCTTAATGGAGCTATTATAATGGGAGGAGGCTGTGGCTCAGTGGAGAGTGCGCTGAACTTTGAATCAGGGGATAGCAAGTTCGAGTCCCACTGCAGTCAGCATGTCGTTGGGTCCCTGGGCAAGACACCAAATTGCTCCTGTGGGGATTGTCCACAGTACTGAGTATGTAAGTCGCTTTGGATAAAGGCGTCTAACAAGTGACATGTAATGTAATGTAATAATAGAGTATCAAAATATGCTTACACTTACATATGCACTACACTTTCAAAATTGGTAGATTTGGCTATCCATTAGACATAGACTGTGGGCTAATACGCACATTCATATATTAATAATTGACAATACTTTACTCCAACTTTACGATAATAAAGTATGTTTATTAGTCCATTTCCTAATGGTGTTTAATTAACATCCTTACCAACTGAAGTGCCACCAGGGAAAGTCACTGATATTATTAGAATAATTAATAATAAGACATTTTCAGTTAAGCTCTTCCTCCGGCTCTCGTAGTGCAGCGGCAGATTAATTCAGAGTTGAGGTGTCTCTGCAGCTCCTGTTTCTCTGCAGGAGAGAGCAGGGATACCTGGCCTCCTGCCAGCCTCCCTCCTTCCTCCCTCCTTCCTCTTTACGGCTCTTTGTTTCCCTCTCTATCGTCTGGGTCTCCAGAGACACGTCTGAGCTCACTGCCTGACACGAGCTTCTACTTCATTCTCCCTCACTTTGGTCCACAGCAGCTTAAAGATGGACTGCCCTGTTTCTTCTAGTCGTTTATATGGGGGTAGAATTGTCTCAATATTATTTCTGTGAACAGAAAAATAATTGTGTGTAATTGTGTCATTTGTAAATGTAAAACCCCTTCCACAAATGCATTACAAATATTTGCAAACTCTAAGCCTTAATGTCTTTCATTTTTATAAAGCACTTTGAATTGCCTTGTGTTGAAAGGTGCTATATAAAGAAACTTGCCTTGCCTTCCAGGTTGATGGGAACGTGAGCACAATCTACTGTCAGAACCTGTGTCTGCTGGCCAAGTTGTTCCTGGACCACAAGACCCTGTACTACGACGTGGAGCCCTTCCTCTTCTACGTCCTGACCCACAACGACAGCAAAGGCTGCCACCTCGTCGGATATTTCTCCAAGGTAAGAAGACCATGATGCAGATAAAAAGACAGGGGACTCATCCTGACACACATCTTAAAACAACACAGATCCTTAATGTGCATTTGATAATAAAGCCTTCCAATCTTTCCCATGGAGGGATATATACAAAACTTTGGGGGGGTTATAACACTTTTAAATTATATTAAAGGTGGGGTAGGTAATTCACTTCAGAAACACTTTTTGTTATCTTCCATGGAATGCTCTTAACATCCCGATAGCAATGAATAAATTAAATGCTTTGACAATAAATACATAAAATGTCATCTGTGGAAGCCGTGGCGCTGTAAAAAGCACGACCAATCATCTGAGCCGGCTCGGCTAAAATAACTGGATGGCCTACCTGCCTGTCAGCCTTCCATCTGTGCACAAACTTATCTCGTGCCCTCATTGGTCATGTGCGCGTTCGTGTGTGTTGGAGGAGGGGCTCTGTAAGGAAGTCTGAAGGAAGGGGCAGATTTCTTTTCGGCTGCGTACTTTCAAATTCTAGCGCACTCAAGCTGGTTTCTCCATTCTTACCTACCCTACCTTTTAAAATATGAATATTACAGAGCTATAACATGATAATGACGACTTTTCTTATCTTGGCTCGTAACAGAGATCAGCAGAATGACTTTTGCTAACATTCATATCAACTACAACTTCTTTATATGAATGAAAACAATATTCTTCTTGAGGTAGCACTGTTCAAACGCACCTCAATCACTTCAGCGGGATATAATAATTGGCATTGTAAGCTTATTAAAGAAGACACATGTGACCGGTTAAGGTTGAAAGAAAAACAGCTGTTTCGAAATACTTTTCAAGCATTTCTGTGAGAGTAAGACAGCAACTTGTGCTTGGTGTCAGTCTCTCTGCAACTGTCTTCTCCGTGTCCACCACACAGCCCCCATTATTCCTCCTTCTTTTTGTAGAATGGATACCCCTGTAAATTAGCACCACCTTGCACAAACTTACAAAAACAACATTAGCCATAATTGAGGGAAAAAAAAGATTTAAATTGATTTGCATTGGCTTCCCTCGCCCCACACAGGTGCATAGCTTCAAAACAAACATGTTGTTCTGCAGATAAACAGTGAGCGCTGCCGCCCCTCTGTGGAGTTTGTAGACGCAGGTGCTCACATTAGCATGTCTCCTCTCTGCCAAAACACAGCAGTTAGTGAGCGGACGCAGCACCATCAGCACCCATCTGCTCTGTGATGTACTTCCATTATATTTCTTTCTTCTAATGGTGGAATGTATCTGTGCGTTTCTCTTTTCTCCAGGAGAAGCACTGTCAACAGAAATACAACGTGTCATGCATCATGATTCTTCCTCAGTACCAGCGCCAGGGCTACGGGCGCTTCCTCATCGACTTCAGTAAGGACATAAACAAAAAATAACTACAGCGACAACACCAATAACTGTGATAGACAGTATAGTATAGTATAGGGCTGTATGATTTGTGGAAAAAAATGCACTGAGATAATGTTGACTGATATTGCAATTACAATACGATTTGCAAAACTATAGGTAAATGATGTTTTTTTACATGATTCACATTATCATTAATATTATTATTTGTATTTTTTATGTAAGAGTACCTGTACCAAACAAGGATGTTTTAGTCTGTATATTACACTTCTCAATATTATCATTTCATTAAAAGTCGTATTAATTGTGCAGCTCTTTATCTGTCAATACTTGTTCGAAAAACACCACTCGTCACCGGCTTGAGATAATAAATACATGTATCCTGATATTGAAGCTCAAGCCGGTGACGAGTGATGTTTTTCTAACAATACTCTTTTAATAAACTGAATGAACAAATACATAAGAAGTTGCTCAAGATGTCCCTCTTCTCCCCCCCCCCCCCTGCAGGCTACTTATTGTCAAAGCGCGAGGGTCAGCCCGGCTCCCCAGAGAAGCCCCTGTCGGACCTGGGCCGGCTGTCCTACATGGCGTACTGGCGCAGCGTGGTGCTGGAGTGTCTCCACGAGGTCCGCGACCGGCAGATCACCATCCGGCAGCTCAGCAAACTGACGGGGATCTGCCCGCAGGACATCACCACCACGCTGCACAGCCTCATCATGCTGGAGCAGCGAGGGGACAGGTACCAGCACTACCTTTTATTCTAGAGCAGGGTTGTTCAAACTTTTTTCACCGAGGGCCACATACAGAAAAATATACAAAGGGCTGGGCCACTCAGTAGAGCAGAGGTTTATCGCCTCATAAGTTCAGTTATAAGTTAGCTAAATGAATCAAATGTAGGTACATGATGCTCGTGAGTGTTGGCAGCTCATCCCTTAAAACAGAAGATTGATTATAATAAGGAGAAATAGGAAGGGTGTATTTCAAGCTTGTTATGTAAATAAGTCATTGGGCTTTTTTCTTATCAACTAAGATATGTTAGAAAATGTTTCCAACTTTAATCGACTGAATTTATTTGAAAAGTGGTCTCATTAACACATGAATACTACTGTGTAATATATTTTTATATTTATATTTAAGAAGTACAATATAAGACAAGCACAAGTTTCATTTGTGGGCCGTACTCCATTATACTTTTTGAATTTGCTGAGGGCCGATTCAAAATGGTCCGCGGGCCGCATTTGGCCCCCGGGCCGTAGTTTGGACACCCCTGTTGTAGAGTTCAAGTAGACAACAAATGATATACAGTGCAGAAATATCACTGTGGTTATTGGAATCATCCACCTGATAAATGTTAAAATTCCACAAGTTTATTGAAATATCAGGATCAATGTTAGTGTGTAATGGCATAAGACAACACGTATATATATCTGGGTTCAGAATGCACTCCTTTGGGTTTATTTATAGTGTCGTGTTCTGTGGTTAAAAGTTTGAAGTCGGTGGACATTGTGATAAAAACATTTAAGTGAGCTTACTTTTAAAATGTCTTCATTGTTTCTCCTGCGTGAGAATATATTATAACTGAATATAGTGCAGTGGAAAACAAAAGGAGAATCTGTTGGAGACAGAGATGCTCACCACGTGCTAATATTCAGTCACATTTTAGCAACAGTCAAATTGAAAGGCGTTGAGTTTGAACTGATTTAAAAAACACTGACACGCCTTTTAATGTAAGCAAAGATAGAACAATCTTATTCCAACCACTAAATATGCATAAGAAAACTGTATGGGCATTGCAAGCTAACACATATGTGTGGATGGATAATCTGACACACACAGCAGTGTTCTTTTCAAAAACACGATATCTCCTGTTTTAACGCTGGTGAGTCTTCCTGCTGTGTGCTCAGGCTGGTCCTGGTGCGGCGGGAGAAGCTGGTCTCGAACCACATGACCCGCCTGAAGGCCCGGCCGCGGCAGATGGACGTCGACCCCGAGTGTCTGCGCTGGACCCCCGTCATCGTCACCAACACGGTGGTGTCTGACGGAGACGAGGAGGATGACGAGGAGGATGAAGAGCCAGAGGAGGACAAAAGCAAGGAGGTAAATGTGTAGAAAGGATATTCGAGTAATATGAATCCAACATTGATGATCTTTGACTGTTGAATCCTCACACACAAAGTCACATGACCTTGGTATTGTAACTCAATTTCATAAACATCAAGAAATGCTCTTAAGTTGGTCGTGTGTTTCATTTTCAGTCAAAAGTCTTAGATTGATCAAAATGGTTGTATATCATTATTGATTTTGTTTTTTTATCTTTATTATAGATCAAACCAAGTCACAAGGTCCCTCCGGTGTCCTGGCACATGCGCCAAGCGAAGAAGAGGATGGAGGAGGACGAAGACGACGAGGAGGAGGAGGAGGAAGAGGAGGAAGAGGAAAGAAAAGGCTTCCCGGGGTTTCCCATCAGCCAAAGCTCTCCCCCCTCTCCCCCCTCTCCTCCCTCTCCTCCCCCCCGCTGTCCGCCCCCTGCACCAGAGCAGCTACGCCCGACTCCCCCGACAAACGGAGAGCGCAGACCGCGGGGGCGCCCGCCAAAAAACTGGCCCTGGGGGAAGGTGAAGGACAGCCCGCGGGCGGGACGGCCTCCTAAGATCCGCCCGGTGGAGGACGAAGACGATGAGGAAGACGAGGAGAGGACCGAGGGAGGGAAACACCCCGGCTCTGCCAGTAGCCCCCCCTCCCTTTTCTCCCTGGACAGACAAGAGTCCACCACCTTTCACTCGCTGGACATGGCCCGGCACCCCTCGATAACCCCCACGCGCAGAGGGCGGCCCCCCAGGAAAAAGAGGGGCCCTAAGCCCAGACTAATAGACGGACCTGAGGGGCCGCTGCCTCTGGGGGCCGTCAGGAAGAACAGCTTCAGTGAAAGCAGCGAAGAAGAAGAGGATGATGATGATGAAGACGATGAGGAGGAGGATGAAGATGATGATGATGATGATGATGAGAGGAGGGCATGCTCCCCCCCCACACTCACCAAGCCCACCATGTCGCTCAAATGCAAGGTGAGAAACTGACCGTAACTATTTAAATCTGGGAATTAAGATGAATGCATTCTGTTATAGCCAGGGTTCAAAACATCAACATCAATGAGCATTTAGTTATCCAGTGTCCTCGAAGTCTGTAGTGTGAGTCGGGTTTTATCATTTAAAGTGGACCTATCATGCTATATTTGAATAATATAGTGTAGGACCATACCTATATAAGGCATATTTATACTTTTTTTTTTTCAAAATACCAAACAGATCATGCATTTTAGCCATGCCTCATTTTGCTCAATTTGACATTTTTTAGCTCTGTTTTTGCAAGGGCTGATTCTGTGAGAACAGCACCATCTACAGGCCTGGCATATGTACTACAGCGTCTCCAGCGCTTTCGAACGGCAATGGCCATGGCTGTCTCCTCCTGATTGGTGGAGATGGCCCAATAGCCGTAGCGCCACCGTCCTGACGTCAGGACAGTGTTCAAATCTGGATCAGTTTTTATCAGATCCGTTGCAGCCCCTTTTTTAGAGATTTGGGTATGGAGGAAAATAGAGAGGGTTGTGTTTTCTGACACTTGGTGAGTTCCCTGGAACACCGGGGACACATATTCATGTATAAAAGACGTACAAAAGTGCCTTTTGCATAATAGGTCCCCTTTAACATTTAGTCATCATTTTAACTAATACTTGTAACCATGTGCTCATTTGCTACATTTCCACACATCTTTTTATATAACTCCATACATCTGAAAATGCTGTCAACAGGCTTAAAACAAAATCCCTTTTCGCTTTATTGTTAAATATAAAATCTTCTATAAATCAGGCTATCAATGCTAAGAACAAAGCCCACTGTAAAAACCTTCAGAATCAAGATATGAAACTGAGTCGGACATCTCCACTCTAGTAGCACCAGATCAATCTTATGAGGCATTATCTAATGTGCAATTTTGGTGAATTTAGGAGAAATCCACTGAAGCATTACACAAAGTAAATACCTAAATGTGTATCTTGGATGCTTTTTGTAGTGTCTTTTGCGAAACACACCTAATAACCCGCCCTGTTTTTACCCAGAAGCCGCTGAGAAAGCGTCGTTTTCGGCAGCGCAGCCACCCTCACAGCAGCGTGGTGACGGAGACCATCTCTGAGACCACGGAGGTGCTGGACGAGCCCTTCGTAGACTCCGACTCAGAGAGGCCGATGCCCCGACTGGAGGAGGAGACGCCGCTGGGACACCCACTGCACCGATATCCCCCCAGCCGCTCCGCGCTGAGGCTCTCGGACCCCGTGCCCAAGAGGGGCCGACACTCCCACCTCTCAGACTCAGAGGAAGATGGTGAGCAGACACTGTTTCAGTGCCAAAGTTGGCAAGATTTAGTGATGAGTGTAAATACTGTAGAGCTGCAATGACGAGTCGATAAATAATGATAATTACTATACATATTGATAATTAAGTGTTTTTTGTATTTAATACTGGCAGAAGAAGCAGCCTCTCACATGGATATTTTCTGCTTTTATAGACAATTTAAGAAATTCAGAAGGACAGTTTTTACTTTTTTATTGACCAAACCTTTAATTGATCTAAGACAGGGGTCTGCAACCTTTTTGACCAAAAGAGCCATTTTGCCCCCTTTTCCACCAATTTCTTTTGTCTGGAGCCGCAAAACATATTTGATAGCTTGATAGCTTATAAAGTTGTATATATTCTTACATCAGACAAAAACTACAGTTTTTTTGCATTTATTATTTATTACATTATAAAACTGTTAACCTCTAATAATAAACAAAGAACTCATATAAGGAGAATACAAAAAATACACAGGCCTACTTTAAAATAGGTTATTCACCTGCAAGAAAAGGCGCTGGTGCGGGACCGTAGCAGGATGTGACGCATATTTTAGTTAACCTAATTAAAACCGTTTATTTTTTATTTTTATGTTTCATAGTATCACCTCAAAATACAAGATACGAAACATTTTCAACCGTGCAACAAAATATAAATGGTCCTACAAATATTTTTATTTTATTTCCTTCTTATTTTTGTCTAAGCTCAAGGGAGCCAGAGTAGAGGGCTTAAAGAGAGCCGCGGGTTGCCGACCCCTGATCTAAGAGATACATTCATGGATGATGAAAATCTTTGTTGGTTTCTGTGCAGCTGTATCTAACTGTCTTCTCTCCTTGTCTCTCTCAGAGCTCACGCCTGTGCTGAAGCCTGTGGCTGCTCTGCAGGCAGCTCCATCAGAGACGCTGTCGGCTAACCCCGAGGTCCCAGTGAAGAAGAAGAAAGGCTGGCCCAAGGGAAAGAGCCGCAAACCCCTGCTGTGGAAGAATCAAGGACCTGAAAAAACCCCTGCAGCTGGAGAAGGACTGACGCTAAGTGGGGATCCCCCACCCCCTAAAATCAAAATGAAGCCTGGCCGCAAGCCCCGAAGCTGGTACCTGCAGCGGGCCCAGGAGGAGGCGGAGAGGCAGGAGCAGGAGACACAAAGGCTGCAGGAGCAGGGTCTGGAGAAGGAGCCCCACCTGCTGCAGACAGACGACCGCAACAAGCAGCGCAGAGCCAACAGCGACAGCAAACAGAAAGACTCGGACGACGAAGACGACTATCTGCCTAAGCCTGTGGAGCAGAAAGTGCCCAGGAAGAGAGGAAGACCGCCCAAGATCCGCAGCCAGCCTCCACAGCCCGCCCCCAAACCGACTCCCACCTCCGAGCCAGAGGAGGAAGAGGAAGAGGAAGAGGAGACTGAACAAACCTGGGAGGAAGAGAAACCCAGCTGTCCTCCGTCCCGCCCCTTGCTGTCCCCGTCTTCCTCCTCCTCCACCTCAGGGCCCCGGGCCCCACCGTCCCAGCCTCAGGACACAGACATGGGCGACAGGGAGGAGGAGGACGATGATGAGGAGAGGGAGGAAGAGGAATGCAGGAGCACGGGGAGCGGCGGCGGCGGCGGCGGCGGCATCAACAGGCGAGCCGCGGTCACACCGGGTTCAGGAAGCAGACGCAGCGAGGATCACGACGCAGACGACGAAGGTGACGGACACCTGGAGGACAAGAGCAACGGCAGCAGCAGCAAGAAGAGGAAAAGCCAGGACTCTGAAGACGAGGATGAGGACGAAGACGAGGAGGAAGAGCCGGCCTCCCGTGCCAGCTCCCCTCCGGTCAAAGAAGAACCCCAGGGCGGAGAGGCTTTTTTGGACATGGAGAACAGCGTGGCCCGCGACTATGTCAGCAAGCAGGAGGAGGAAGAAGAGGAGGAGGAGGAGGCTGAGGAGGAAGGGCAGGAGGTCAAGACTCGGCCCTCGTCAGCCGACCCGCAGCAGGAGGAGCGGCGGCGCCGGGAGCAGGAGGAGTCGGCAGCGGCGGCCGCAGCCGTGGAGACCGTCACCGCCATGTCCGCTCCTCCCGAGCCCATGGAGCTGCAGCCGCTGCACCAGGAGGACAAAGAGGTCACGCTGTTGATGGAGCCCCAACACCCCCACCCGCACTCCTCTCACCCCCACCAGCACTCCGAATTCAAAGAGGAGCTGGGCCACCATCAGCAACACCACCCCCATCACCACTCCAACGAGCTGGACCTGGAGACCATGCAGGCCGTGCAGTCCCTGACTCAGGGGGAGGCGCAGGACGAGGAGGCGGAGCCACAGCCGCACCACGGGGCCTACCAGGACTGTGAGGAGACCCTCGCCGCCTGCCGGACCCTGCAGAGCTACAGCCACACGGGGGAGGCGGAGGAAGAGTCTCTGGCGTTGGTGGAGGACTGCGGGGCGTCCCAGCACAGCAGCCCCCTCCCTAACCCCAGCGCCACGCCGCTACCCCAGTCAGTCCGTGCGCTCTGTGAATAGCCCGGGGTTAACCTCCGGGATCATGGACACCACTCCTGCCGGGCCTAGGGGAGGAACCCCCGGACCCACGGGAGCAGGGGGCGGAGCAGGAGGAGCCGGAGGAGGAGGAGGCTACACCCAGATCACACCGGAGCATCCCAGCTCTCTGTCGGCCCCCTCCCAGCAGAACATGGAGACTTCACCGATGATGGATGTGCCCTCGGTGTCAGACCACTCCCAGCAGGTGGTGGACAGCGGCTTCAGCGACCTGGGCAGCATCGAGAGCACCACGGAGAACTACGACAACCCCAGCAGCTACGACTCCACCATGGGCGGGACGGGGAACGGAGGGGGGATGTCGGCCGTAATGGCGGGAGCTTCCTCAGCTTCCTCGTCGTCGGCCTCGTCTTCTTCAAACTCGGCGACCCCGTCCTCCTCACAGTCCAACAACTGCTCCTTCGCCCCCGCCCCCAGCCTTACCTCCCCCACAGGAAGCGGAGGGTCCCAACATGGGATGGGCAACTGCAGCCTCATCCAGCAAACAGGGCCCAACACTGGACCTGGAGCCGGTAATGTGGGCGGTGCTGTGCCCCAGCCCCCGCCTCCTCCACCACCGTCCATCACCCCCAACTGCGGCATCAAGTCTCCGCAGAGCTGTGTGATCGAGCGGCCCCCCAGCACCAACCACCAGCAGCAGCAGTCACAGAAGAAGGTTGCTCAGCAGCAACAAGCCTCCAACCCCTCACCGTCCGCTCCTACACCACAACAGCAGCAGCAGCAGCAGCAACAGCAGCAACAACAACAACAACAACAGCAACAACAACAGCAGCAGCAGCAGCAGCATCAACAACAACACCAACAGCAACAACAACAACAACAACAACAGCAGCAGCAGCAGCAGCAGCAACAACAGCAGCAGCAGCAGCAGGCCCTGTCCCAGTGCAGCATGGGTAATGGCTTTTCCTCCACCCCCATGATCATGGAGATCCCTGAGAGTGGCGGTGGAGGGGGGGGCCGCACCCTGTATGAGCGCATGGGTCAGGACTTTGGCACGGGGGGCTACCCTCAGCCCTCCGCTACCTTCAGCCTGGCCAAACTCCAACAGCTCACCAACACCATCATGGACCCCCACGCCATGCCCTACTCTCATTCGGCCTCCGTCACCTCCTACGCCACCAGCGTGTCCCTCTCCAACCCCGGGCTGGCCCCGTCCCCCCACGCCCCCCACGCCCCGCTCTCTCAGGGCCAGCCCACCATGACGCCCCCCCCTAACCTCAGCTCCGGCTCCATGAACCTGGGCTCGCTACAGCTTCAGTGCAACATGCCCAGCGCCAACCTGGGTCTGGGGCCCCCGCCTCACACGCAGCGGCTTCAGGGCCAGATGGCGACGGTCAAGGGCCACATCTCCATCCGCTCCAAAGCCACGCAGCAGCTGGCCCCCGCCCCGCACCAGCAGCAGCTGTACGGCCGCAGCTCTGGGGCCGTGGCCATGCAGGGCGGCCCCCGCACCCTGGCTGTTCAGCGCGGCATGATGCCCAACCTCATGCCCACGCCGGCGCCCTACAACTCCATGAACATGCCGCTGAACGCCATGTCGGCCGGGTATCGGATGCCCCAGCCCATGATGAACAGCGGCTACCACGGCAACCCCCCATACATGAACCAGCCGGCGCAGTACCCCATGCAGATGCAGATGGGCATGATGGGCGGGCAGGGATACCCCCAGCAGCCCATGCAGCCCAATCACCACGGCAACATGATGTACACAGGCCCCACCCATCACAGCTATGCCGGTGTACCCAAACAGTCGCCGTACATGAGCAGATGAGCAGCAGAGACGAGGGAAAAATGATACTCGCTGAACTCTAAATGTCCAAATTTCTCCTGTTACCCTCTCCGGGGCTGCGGCAGGCGCCGGGGGGGCGGAAGTGACGGAGACACAGAGGGTCTATGGGTTTCCTGTTTTTCTACGTTGTCATTTTGTCCATTTTCATTTGGGCTCCCCTCCCCCTCCTAGCAAGCAAGTGGCTGGGGCTCCCGGTTTAGCGGGTTGTGTGAACATGGACCTTCTGCTGCAGGCCCACACACTCCTTCGTCATGTGATCTTAACACAGGCCCGGGAGAGCGGGGGGACAGGAGGTAACACGGAGAAAGACAATACAGGAGAACCTCGCCTCTTCAGACTGCGAATGAAAAACAGTGGTTTACTGAATATATTCAACCATGCACACAATCTTTTAATTGATATAGGAAGCCTTACCTTGGAAAAAAAAGAGACATTCTGGGCAAATCGTTTGTTTTGTTAAACATATTGTTGAATCTTATTTTCGTTGTCGTTGTTTTCGTTGTTTTTTTAAATACTTGTGTGCAGTCCGACCTCTTATATGCTTTGGTCTTTATATGTGTGGCATTCTGAAAAGGTGATACACACCCTCTCGCTCTCAGAAACCCCCGAAACGTGTCTGCCGGGCTGCATTTCACCCGGTTCCAGAAGAAGCATCGGAGCGGGGCCTCCAGGTGTGCGAGGTGTCGAGCTATTCCCAGAGTCTTCCCGGATCCATCTTGTTCTACCAAATAAAACAACAGCAAAGACACAGGAGACACGCGTTACTGTCTGTTGAATGAAACAAGTAGCATTATTTTCCAGTTTTCCGCCACTCTTAGATGTAAATATTCTGGTACTTCCCAATATCCAGCACACACACACATACACACACTGGCTAGTGCTAATTGGTAGCTAGCTCAGGAAAGTAAAACATTCAGCTGTTCTTGTTCACACTCCACTGACAGACGGCATAATATGTCAGCCTTTTTTAGCAGTTTACAGAACAAACGGTGGGATTTCCATTGAACTGCTTTAACGAAAGTCGGTCAGCTGAAAGTGTATGCGACCCAGAGAGGTCTGCTTTTGAATGGTGTATTCTGTTAAAACTGTATATTTTTCGTATTTCTTTGCTGCATAAGTCTGCACTCCCATTAGCTAGACGTATGGCGGGACAGTCGGCCTTTATAAAAGGTGCCTAAAGCCTGATCTAGTGCGCGGATTGGCCCTCACTCAGAGGCACGCTCGTATAAAGCAGGGTCGGAGGAAGAGTTCGAGGTTCTGTTGGTTGACTCCATGTACCAGTATTCAAAGTCAAAAGAGGAGATTTTCATTTTTTCTTACAGACCTGGCATTGCATACTTTATTTGTGTGTATTGTTCTCTACTTTATTTTTGTGTTTCTTTTTGTTTCTGAATTTGATCAGACTGGGCAGCTTTCTTTTATGACACGAGCTGACTCTTTTTGACTTTAGAAAACCTATTGTAGAGAAAATGTTTTTTCTATAATATAAAAAGGAAACTCTGACATTGATATTGGTACTGTCATTTTTTTCACTTCTGTTTCAGGAAAAAAAAACAATACATATTTTTTAGCTCGCCTCTTGGGTAATGATTACTAAGAAATTCAAAATTTAAAAAAATTACCACTCACTTTTAGTGACTTTAAGATGCCTTTAACCTCTCCATTCCATCTCATCTCTAGAGTTTTCTATCTTTGTGTAGTATATTAATGCTATTTTAAACAAAAGGACTACAAATATCTAAAGGTCACTTGGCATTCTTTTCTTTTTTTACTTGTGTGTGTATAGGATGACTTCCTTACATTTAAGAGGCATGTAAAAAGGAGCTCAGTATATTTCTGTCTGTTTATATCGCTTCCCTTTTTGTATCCTTTGTAATTGTACATGTTGCGTTGTATGCTAAGAGAGAGCGCAAAATAAAGAGAGGAGAGACAGCAGTGAAGGCGGCCTCCACTCTCTTCTCTCTCCCTGTATGTATTTCCATTTATTCTGTTTTTTTTTTCTTTCTTTCTTAGCAAGTACTTTCAAAGAACTCTGTACATTTTAACATAAAATGAAAATAAATTATGTTGAGCCATTCATGTTTTCCTTGAGATTTTTACAGTTCCATCTTAGTCAATTCAACCAATAAAATAGTATCAGTACATAAAGATGCGTTATGCTTACCCCTTGTGCCTCATAGGGACATTTTTCAGTATTCAGATATATATTAATGCTAACACAAATGCTCGAAATGCTGCTCCTATATTAAGTCAATAAAATGCAGACACTCTTAAGAGTCTTAACTTTTTTTTTAAAGTCCCTGTTTTAACAAATCTATCCACATCTTTGATCCAACAGCCATTTATCAGGATAAATGCCTCCCTTGTTTCCACTACACACTTATCTTTGACGTCATCCTAACACTTAGTAGACATAAAAAAATGATAGTTTTTTTTTTTTTTTTTCACTTATATAATATAACATAAAAAGCTTAAGGTAAACCAACTGGCAAAAAAAGGCTCTGAAATTATGGAAATGAATAAACATTTAGTACGGTCAGTATGGTCAGTTTTAGGAGGAAGATATTTTTGACCTTTCCAGGCTGTGTCCACAGGTTTCCCTGATGGACCCCTTTTTTTATTATTGACTCAACTGACCTGGTGACATTTTAAGGATATTTATTTTTCTATCAAATTAAATAACACCAGTACAGAACAACTTATAAACTGTACAATTCAACCAAAGAGTGAACACATTAACCGCAGGAAGTTTGGGTAAAATAAAATAAAATACAGACCCCTTATAAAGCTTTGGCGACCCCTAGTGGGAGTTAGGGACCCCCAGATTGGGAACCAGGTATGCTAAGGTTAAGGTAAATCAATCAATCAATCAATGTTTATTTATATAGCCCAATATCATAAATGTTACATTTGTCTCAGTGGACTTCACAGTTTGTACAGAATATCAGTATGACAATACGACACCCTCTTTCCATCGTACAAGGAAAAACTTCCAGAGAAACCCCACAGTTTAAAGGGGGAAATGGGAGAAACCTCACGGAGAGCAACAGAGGAGGGATCCCTCTCCCAGGACGGACAGACGTGCAATAGATGCCGTGTGTAAATCGAAGAGATAACACATTTTACAGCATAGGTAGACCAAATGTTTGGAAATGCATGTGTCTATAATAAGAAGATGTAAAGTCCTCTGTTCTCTTATTTTAGCATTTTTGTCTGATGTATGTGCTCTCTCAACATTTACTGTGAGGAAATGTTCACTTATTGACACTGGGGGTGGATTGTTTGCAGGTGTGGGGAAACTTTGCTTTAAGGGTGTGAACCGCACATGGAAAAAAGGAGGGACTGCAGACGAGGAGACTTTATTCATTTTGCACCTAGTTTTAATTAATCTATAAAATCTTTGAATATTTTTTAAACAATCAAACAGAGCTTAAATTATTGATCTTTTGCTGCCTCTCAAAGAAAATGTTCATTCATACTTATTTACATTTTAAATACACAGCGGAATTGTCTGGAAGCCATTACAATTTGTTGGATCTAATGTTTTTTTGAAATACTAATGTGATTATGTTAATTGTATCTACCAAGTCAATAATAGATAGGCTACAGATTTGTAAGAACACTGAAAAACAAACAAAATCTAGAAAAAACACATGTTTCCCCCTTCATAATTTCAGAGAGTACATCTTTTATTTACAGTTTGGAATAAATCAAAGACATAAGCTTTAATAGCAGGGTAGTACTCTTCAGTACCTGTGTCTATTTGTTTGATGGGAAGAAACTTCACAAGATGAAATCTGATACTGGAAACAAAATGTCAGACCAGCTACATCTCAGAGCCAATCAGCGTGCAGCTTTACTGGTGTTTACCGTCGCCCTCCCTCCATCGTCCAAGTCACGAGTCACCAGCTTCCGTATTTTCGACCAATGATTCTACTTAGTAGGCGGGATTTCAAACTCTCCCGGGATTCTGATTGGTTCCCTGCACTCTCTACCAGTCCTCCCAACGAGAGCAGCTCCACCTAACGGGAAGCAACGACGGCTGCTTAATCTTTCATTGGGGAAAAAGGGTTGAAAGGCGAGACGAAAACGTACAAAATCGTCCCCGGTAAGTCCTCTTAACATATTGAATCACTCGAGTGACAAGTGGTGATTTTTCAGTGAGGACAGCATCGTTTTCCCCATGTATTTTCATCTCTTTTACCTGGTGACGGGGCTTTTCCTCTGTCATGAGACTGAGGCAGGAGGAGGGTCAGATGTAGCATCTTGTGAGGAGGCCTCCAACTGCTATAAAGATAGCTAGCTAGGTGCTCAGTTTAATGTTAACTCATCATGTTTAATTTCAGATTTAATTACGTGTAAAAGTAATGTTTTCAGGTTTTTGTAGCGCCAAGTTATATCAGGTGCGAACTCGATACGTTGCAGCATATTTAATGAATATTCCGGTGTCATATTTCAGAGACACTTTAATTAAGTTAAAGTAAAGCAACCGTTTTTTAACCGTTTAGTAGTATTTGTAATTTCCGTATGTGTAACGTTAAATGTCCTCCGAACTCAAATGTGAAGACAATTCCTTCATCGGTTTTATTTATTGTTTTATTGTTTAGCTATAAAGTGACTTATTATACGTTATTTATTCTTTATGACTTGTGTTTTGTCTAGAATTGTATTCAATGACAAAATAGAAGTTCTGCTGGTGCCAAAGAAAATAGTGCTATATCTCAGAAACTACAAGAAGCCAAATCAAGTATTGAGTAGGAACTAATAACAAGTTGAATATCAAATATTAAGCACACATGTAGTTTAAAAATATTGATTTTGTAAGGAGACATTTAAAAGACACAACCTAAGTGTGATATATATTTGTTGAACCATTGATTAAAAGTGTGATTTAACATGTTGAGAAATGTCAAAGTTAGATCCTTATTCAAACTATATCTGTGCCATTTAATAAAAAAAAAGTATTTAGAGCAATCACACAGCAGTTGAAGAATATTTCTTTAACATAGTTCATACTGTGTAGTTTTTAGTAAACTCCTTTAAATTAATACATTAAATCCCCTTTAAATTGATCCACAATAGTAAGAGACATGTTTAAAGGTTCACAGGAAGCAGTCATCCACATGTTGCTGTGCATGAGCTTGCACACCCTGTTAGTTTTACTTATTGATACTGTTGAAATATATTAAAGTATGTATTTTTAATCTATTAGCTATATAATTGACATGTAGTGTTGAATGCAGACTTCATTTATGTATCTAGAAAACATGTATGTACATATCTAATATCTAATGTCTAACTATATAATAAACGTGCACATCTGCTCATGAAGAAGGCTCATTGTCTGTCATCCAGAGCGTAAACCCTGCTTTTAACCCCCAAGAAATGTGTCATGTGAGAGGAGGAAGGGCATGGACTCATTGTTTTCACTGTTTCATTCATTCGATTTTTTTGCCGTTAAACTTGAAACGGGTTAAATGTTGTTGTTTGAAAGCTTATTATGAAAATGTAGCAACATATAAATCATTTGTATTGATTGATGTATTGCTCTGTATACAGCAGTGTTATCCTTTCATCACATTGATGATAGGTCTTTGAACTGCTTCAATTTCATTCAACGTGTTTATATTAAAAGTCAAACCTGTATATTTTCTGAAATGGTTGATCAAAGTGTCTGATTTGATAAAGAAATACATCAAACGTGATTAGCAATACTTCTTTGCGATGGTTATTTGTTAGTAGTTTTGACCTTTTGTTTATTTTGGTGATTATGTTTATCAAATTGACAGAATGTACGTATTGTTTAAAACATTTTTTATTGACCTTAAATATATACTAAACATTCAAGTGGTTCTTTGTCATTATTTAATAAAAGCTCACCATCCAAATCACCACAATTAAACCTAAAAGCACTTTCTTACAAAGTATTAAACTTCCTCATCTCATTTGAAATGTTTGAGTTTTCTCTTTTTATCTCCTGCCCGTCAGCCTCCAGCCAAAATGATCCACAGCCTGTTCCTCATCAACTCCTCGGGGGACATTTTCCTGGAGAAGCACTGGAAGAGCGTGGTCAGCCGCTCTGTGTGCGACTACTTCTTCGAGGCCCAGGAACGAGCCACCGAGCCAGAGAACGTCCCTCCGGTGATCCCCACGCCGCACCACTACCTGATCAGTGTGCTCAGGCATCGGATCTACTTTGTGGCCGTCATCCAGAGCGAGGTGCCGCCGCTGTTCGTCATCGAGTTCCTGCACAGAGTCGTCGACACCTTCCAGGTTCCCTTGCATTTTCCAGTAGCTGTTTGTTTAGTTTAAATGACATATATCTGACTTTCATACCCAGTAGTAGTTGTACTCTAAAATACTTTTCTTTGTCCTCAGGATTATTTTGGAGTGTGTACAGAGGCTGCGATTAAGGACAACGTGGTCGTGGTGTATGAACTCCTGGAGGAGATGCTGGATAACGGCTTCCCGCTGGCCACAGAGTCCAACATCCTCAAAGAGCTCATCAAGCCCCCCCACCATCCTCCGCACAATGGTCAACACCATCACAGGTACAATCCATTGGATGACTGTGCATTTCAAATTCAGAAAAGCTTTTCCAAAACAGAGTCGTAAACTTATTTGCATGGGTTTTGCATTATTTGTATTAAATCTGACAATGTCTATGTTACCACCTGGTTTGACTGTTATCAGCAGATTGAATGAACGTTATCAGCCTGCTACACAAACCAGTAGCTTTTATTATCTCTTCATCATGCTGATCACAGACAGGTGGAATCAATACCAGCCAAAAGTCTGTATTAGCGCAGATATTATTCTGTGTGATGTGCTTGTTTTTTTACCTTTGGTGAACGTGTGTTTCAGGCAGCACTAACGTCGGAGAGCAGCTCCCCACAGGCCAGCTGTCGGTGGTGCCATGGCGACGCACCGGAGTCAAATACACCAACAACGAGGCCTACTTTGACGTGGTGGAGGAGATCGATGCTATCATCGATAAATCAGGTACGGCTCTGAACAAACACTTCAGGATATGCAATACTTTGCCTTGGGTCTATTTCTCACATTGACTTCCACCCTCCTCCTCAGGCTCCACCATTACAGCAGAAATTCAGGGAGTTATCGATGCCTGTGTGAAACTGACAGGCATGCCCGACCTCACGCTGTCATTCATGGTGAGTGTCCTCTTATCATCAGAGTCTTTGTATAAATTCAACACATTTACAAACTCACAATCAGACACACGATTTACATTTCATAAATACGCATGTTATTACAGTTTAAATCCAGAGACTATGACATGTATTGCTGGGATGATCACAATACGTTCTCTCAAGACTCTGCTGATTAGTTTTGTTTTAATATCAGTTTATTACAAATATGTTTTGTTCTAACCAAAATGTTATCTAAATGATTTGATGTCGCAGAATACGTCCACATTTACAAAACAGTGGTATATGCAAAAGCAATGGGATGATGTTTGCAGCATGCACATATTATCTTACCTACCCCTTAACCAACCTTGCCCTCTCCCAGAATCCTCGGCTGCTGGATGACGTCAGCTTTCACCCGTGTGTTCGGTTCAAGCGTTGGGAAGCTGAGCGCATCCTCTCCTTCATCCCCCCCGATGGAAACTTCCGGCTGCTCTCGTACCACGTCAGCTCCCAGAAGTCAGTGATTTTCACACCCTTCAGCATAATTATAATCCTGTTTTTTTTTCCAATAGTTGCTCCAATATTAGAATATCACAAAATGTAAACAACACATATGACTGGAGTGTGATTGCAGTTGTTTGTTGTCCTCGTCTCCTCCAGCCTGGTGGCCATCCCGGTGTACGTGAAGCACAACATCAGCTTCAGAGAGGGCAGCTCTCAGGGCCGCTTCGACCTGACTCTGGGCCCCAAGCAGACCATGGGCAAGTCGGTGGAGGCGGTGCTCGTCAGCAGCCAGCTGCCCCGCGGCGTCCTGACCGCAAACCTCAACCCCTCCCAGGGAACATACACCTTCGACCCCGTCACCAAGGTACTGAGGAACTGCTTCTGAATGTGTGTTTATACGCCTAAAGGAAGGACGAAGGGAACGTGTGTATGAACAGGAAGGTGCAGACGTCTCAAAAAGCCTGTGACGAATGCTTTCTCCCTAGCTCTGAACTAGTCATTAAGTCAGAATATGGGACCTTCCTCAATCGTCAGTCAACTTTATTGTCAATCTTTCAGTTTGTGTGTACGAAAATCAAATCGAAATACCGTTTCCCACAATCCCGAATACAAAAAATACAAATATATATATATATAAAAATATGTATATACCTATATATATATACACAATCAACAGACACATTTATACTAATTGTCGAAAAATTCAGTTTTACAATACCTCTCCAGGACTAAAAAGGCAACCATTTGATTTGATGCATATTTGTTCCAAGTTGTAGTGTTCTCATACTGCCATTTGAATGTTGTCTTTATTTTCGTCCAGATGTTGACATGGGATGTTGGAAAGATCAACCCACAGAAGCTCCCCAGCCTGAAGGGCACCATGAGTCTGCAGGCCGGGGCCTCCAAACCCGACGAGAACCCCACCATCAACATCCAGCTGAAGATCCAACAGATGGCCATCTCAGGTACACACACACGCACGCACGCACGCAAACATACACACACACACACACACATATTTTTCATTATTGAGATTAGAAACCAGTATCCATGTTGTTTCAGAGAGTTAGATTACTATGGGAAGAGTAACACATTAGATGTGTTCAAGGCCAGGCATTGAAATATTAGTTAGTCATTAGTTTAATAAGGTGACATGATAAAATAAAAACAACTAACAGTAGAAAAGACATACATATATCACAAGTAGTACACAATTTAAAAATATTCATTAAAATGTTCTATAAATACTGCAGCAACAGAAATATAGATGGATACTACAGTAGCAGAGACATATGTACATAGGATATTATATAAATTACAAATGTGACACATTATTGTAACTAATAATGAATTGTGAATACACACTGAATACCATACATGAGGATAATTTAACCTCAGCCCCCCCCACATGAGAAGCTTCCTTCACATCAGCTGATAACCACCTGACTGTCAGCATGTGACACTGCGGCCACTAGAGGGGGCCAAAGGCATGAATACACCTCACATGACCTCAAAGTACTCAATTGAGCAGGTTCTGATACTCATGAGTGCTACTTTTATTCATTCATTGTTTTCACCTTATGTGATTTGCATTAAACAAAACTTTATGTAATATGCAAAGCCATATTGCTAAAAATGTTATTTCACAACATTGGAAGCAATAGGAAAAGCATGCATTTAGTGATATTAGTATATCGTTTTCTGTGTTTAAAAAAAAAAGTACTTAAATTGAGGCAATCAAAGGTGTGATTTGCAGCCGGATCCTGCTCCATCTGGCATATAGATAGGTTGCATCTCGCCGAAATTGAGCAATAATTAAACTATTTTGAGTGTACCTTCAACATATGCATGGCTTGTTAAACCTGAACATGCATTCTCTATTTGATGCATTTGTTTTTCAATATAGTAGGGAAACAGAAACCAAAATAAAGTCTATAGAGGCGAAGTCCCGCCCATCTACTTCCGACCCATGGGACCTTATTTCGGAAAAATGATGGATTGAAGTCAATGGGGAGAGAAAGATTATCTTTCGATCCCGTTTGAATTGTGCCACGAATTACACATATGATGTTTGTCAATCTTAACAAATCATTTCCATGTCAAAAAAGTCACTGTTTGTCGTAAAACTGTTGAAATATAAGACTATGAAAAATATGCAACTAGAAAGACTACAAATCCCAGAATCCCGGTCCCGCATGCTTTTAATACTTTTCGCCTCATTCTGAAAGAAAGAAGTGAAATGTGCCAACGTGACGGCCGTCTTAGTGTGTGGTGCGAGACGGGAGATGTAGTTCATTGAGCGGTTTCACACAAAAAAAAAGTGTTACTTCACAGTTTTACGACACATTTTTATTTTTTTGACTTGCAAAATTATCTTTTCAATTGACAAACATCATATGTGTAATTCGTGGCACAATTCAAACGGGATCGAAAGATAATCGTTCTCTCCCCATTGACTTCAATACATACTTTTTCCGAAATAAGGTTCCATGGAGGTCCCCTGGACAGGGAGGGACTTCGCCTCTCTATCAAGATTCTGAAAATGCCTTCAGAACAGTCATGTGTGCTAAACAACCCTCTGGTGTTTTACATTTCCCAGAAAATATGATATTTCCCAGTGGAGGAAAAACCTAATAAAGACATCTCTGTAGTTGTTGTGAACATTTTTTATCGCATATCTCTGGTAAATCCAAAATGAGCCACCCGCCATCCTTAAACATTCAAACTAGACTTGTCCAGTAATTGCAAATCAGTTTGTATTGAGAAATGGAAATGGAAAAACTATATTTGATATCCTCCTGCAGGGCTGAAGGTGAACCGACTGGACATGTACGGTGAGAAGTACAAACCTTTCAAAGGCATCAAATACATGACGAAGGCTGGCAAGTTCCAGGTGCGGACATAAAGACTGCTGCTCTGTGACTACTGGACCAAACCACCAGGAGACTGACGGGGGGGTGTGATGGGGGAGTTGGTACATTCCCTGTGTATATGCATTTCAGGATTTGACAGATGGGAGGCTCCATGTAGCAGTTAAGATGGACCGTTGCTCAAAGTCTTTTGAAGTGAAAGTGCTTTAAGTAGTGAGTCAACATGAGATATAAACATTTCCATCGAACCCCGATCATCCTAATTTATACTTCTCTACTTTACATCACCGCTTTTTTCCACTGTTCATTTTTTATCCTGAGCCCAAAACCAAACCCAAGCAGTTACATGAGACGTTTGTTTTTTAATACAGGCTTCTTCAAGTTCAAACATTTCAAACTCTAACAAACAAACAGGGGTCTCTCTGAGGAGAGAGAGAAAACAAAGGAAGAAGATGAAGAGACCCAAGAGAGAGAGCGAGAGACCAGAGAGAGTAGAGAGAGCATGACGAGAGAGAGAGAGAGACGAGAGGAAAAAAGGAATCTCTCTCTCTTCTCCTCTCTCTCTCTCTCTCTCTCTCTCTCTCTCTCTCTCTCTCTCTCTCTCTCTCCGTCTGTCTCTCTCTCTCTCTCTCTCTCTCTCTCTCTCTCTCCCTGTCTCTCCCCCTCTCTCCCTGTCTCTCCCCCCCCCATCTGATGTTGTTGGTTTAAAAGGCCTTTAATTAAAGGATTTCATTTATTGATGGCATGTTCCTGTGGATAAATGTGTGCTTTTTACACTCCAAAAAAAAAATATATTGCATATTGGTCCAATAGGATATCAAAATAGAGCCACCCCTTTAATACATTGAGAAATCATGAGGTTAATAGTATGACAGAAGGCTAGTATTTTCTGTACGATTAATCAATAGCAGTGTGTTTGTGTATAAATAAATCATGAAATACACAAAGTATTTGACTTTAACGTCTAATGAAACTGCTGAAGAGACAAATTTATAAATAAAATTACAGAAATCTAATTTTTACATTCAGTTTACCAATGCGTTTCCACTGGTGCTCAATTATGTCATTTTGTTGCACCTATTCTTCCTCACTGTTATATCTTTCATCTGACAGCGCAGTTGGCCCCACCTACTGCTTATCTCCACAGACCAACAGTTTGTGGATTAAGAACCATAACAAGTAGATTGTATTCAAAGAAAATACATTATTTGCCGATTTTAAGGACATTTGGAAATGTTGATACATAATAATGGAAACCTGACCATTGTCTAACAACACATTATAGTACGTCAAACTAAGTCATGACACTAGTTGTATTTGATTGGGTGGATATGCTGTAACAGCGAATACTGTAAGTTCCTTCCTATAAATCATTCGGACACTTCTAGTCACATGATCTTGCTTTATTTCCCCCAAAAACGTGCTCCTTATTTTTTATACGTTTCTATGTTACCTGTTTGCAACCCACCAATGAAACTTTGAAATATTTCTCATCGTCCTGTCCTTTACATTTGAACGATTCCTTTTGTGTTTGCTTTTATGTTTGTTTTCTTTTGTTTGCGTTACTGTAATGATGAGTCTGCAGCACTGGAGTCAGAACACTGAAATATGAAGTCTTTGTCCCTCCCATCACGCACTTTCACATCTGCCGGTTCTCACATCTCCTTTAACGCAAGTGAGACTGTTAGAGCTGTTTGTTACCATGCCGATTTCTGGGAGATCTTCAGGTACACCTGTGTTATTCTATTATTTATTAAACAAAACAAAATGGCTACTTTCTAGAGTAATGTCTTGTGTGTCTTACTGTCATACAACCTGAATGAAAAGCTTTAACTCTACATTTTTGTATTGAACCACATTAAGATAATATCAGTTCTTGTCCTCAACAAATAGAGATATGTGGCCGTTAGAAATAGTTTAGATCAGGGGTGTCAAACTCAATTTCATCATGGGCCACATTCACATTATGGTTGCACTCAAAGGGCGGTTGTAACTTTAAGACTATATAAAAATACATATATAAATATTGAATATATATAAAAAATTATATTACATTATTGCCTCTGCATTGGATTATTATTGGATAAGGTAATAACTTATCTGCTTATAAATAAGCAGAAGTCTAGGGCAAATAATTGCAAGTCTCTTCAGTGAGAATGTCACAAAATGATTTTTTTTAAAGTCAAATTCTGAGAAAAAAGTCAAATTTGAGATGCATTGTGGGACATGTAGTTCATGGGCAACGTGCTTCTGTACATCGGCATGTAACCGTATAATAAACATATTATATTCTTTGCAAGCTCTTATGGGGCCACAGAAAATGAAGTCGTGGGCCGGATTTGGCCCCCGGGCCTTGAGTTTAACACCCCTGTTTTAGATCCTGTGAATTTGGTGCTTAAAACTCTGGTCCAAATTATATCCCAAACATATTTTAATAATGAGCAGGTACCTCAGAAGAAATGTTGACGGTTTTGCATTTTGTGTTTGCAGGATTTTGTTTGTGTGTTTGTTTAACAGCCTCCAATGGAGTGTTAAAATGGTGTACAAATAAAGATTGATGTGTTATAACTGAGTGATGATAACACTTATTATTGAATGTGGTTCATACTGGGAAATTATATATTGTGTTGCCAGGCATGAATTGCTTTGGAAACGATCACTTTTCTTAGTTTAAGTTCTCAATGTTCGAAACAACATTTTAGATTTATGTTCATTTTATTGTGTATTTTTTTAAATTTTTCAGAAAAGACTAATGTCTGGGTGTTAACATCTGAGAATATCTGATTTACTACAGTGGGATGAAATTGTTGTCCAAGCATTAACGAGTAAAACCACACAAATTGTTTATACCTCGTTCTCACTCTTTAACTTCATTTACTGACCCAGGACAGTAAACCCAGCAAGGACTCATTGGAGCTTCATCAGATTACATTTGCCACCATACCTTCAAAAATACCTTTTAAAACAAAGTGGATCACTGACTGACTAAGCATTGGTCACTAGTGCAAACTTGAGGGCAGATTACTATTGAATACATAATTTTGAGATTATTTTGTCTGCTTTTACCCAAAGAATTTCAATGCATTAACTTTGGAAAAAAGGTTTGCCATATTGTTATGAATTGAAAAGATTATCTCAAAACTATGAGACTGTTTTTTTTTTTCAATGTAATCTCATGCTGAATAATTTAGTTACAAGATTTAAAATGGTGCTTGTGCATGATTCTTTGGGAAGATGTAAGGGTATATCCATCAAATCCTCTTATCGATTAGTTGACAAAATTAAGAGTGATGGTTGATAAAGAATTATAAAATCGGTCAGAAATGAATGTGTATTTTTTTTGTCGCTGTCACTTTCCTACTTTCCCCTATGACTATCCTGCATAACTGTTCTCCTGCAGCTGAGCACGGTGTGGATCAGACCTCACTGTCCTAAAGGCAGCTGAGATACCTGAGCTCTGTCAGCCGGGGTCACTGCAGCCCTTCATCTGAACAGAGCATCCCATGATGTGTGCAGGACAGGAACCTAAAGTATCCTCACCCCTCCCTCATGATGTCACAACATCTGGTCCAAATCCCCCCCCCCCTGTGTATGAAGCCCCCCCCCCCCAAAAAAACATCTCCTTGCTCCTGGCTGGACTCCACTCCATAATTTCCTGATCACTTTAACCCCTCCTAAATATACAGCCCCTCTCTCTCTGTGTATCAGTGGCTTTAAGTCAGAGTTATGTCATTAGGCTACAACTTTCCCCCCTCTCCCCTTCTTTGCACACGTTGACGTTGTTTTGCTTCTTTTTTGTTGTTGTTGCTATATCGTTGAATGCAAGCTTTGGTTTATTGATGTCTTTTTTTAATCCTTTCTGTTAATTTTTGCAAACGCGTTTTAAAGGCTGCAGAGGAATATCGAAACATTTGAGGACTCAATCATCGCGACGGGTGGTACGTTGTCTCTTTAAATTGTTTATATTATGCATTTTAATCCAATGCAAAAGTAAGTAAACTCACTTTGATGTGTTCATTTGCAGACATGTGAGAAACAAAAGTTTCTGAAGTGCATTATTTAGCTACAATTCATACATGAAACAGCTGCGTAAATATTAATGAATGCTTTCACAAAGGGCCGTAATATACCACTGGCTCTGAAACACAGGCTGTCCCGTGGATGAAAATGTAAAGTGTGTATTCACACTCGGGTAAAGTGCAGTTTCTGTCACCTCACAGCAATCAGCCCACTCACAGCCTATTGTGTGTTTGTGTATCCTGATGCAGATACTGTGCATTATCTTAATTTAAATCTATGGATGCCTGTTAGCTTTTATCTGATTGCTCTGAGGTTGGGCTGGCCACGTCAAAAACACGTGGGCTTACAGTAACAGTCACAACAGAGGCACGCACGAGCTCATCCAGGGCTGGACGTTTTTATTAGACCACGTGCGGACGGAGCTGGCAGAGCGCGTGCTGCCTTGGCACTGTCTGCAGTTAAACACCTGAGCTGAGATATGGAAGGAAACAGGAACATATTTAAAGTCTCACATTTATGTCATTTTAAGGCATTGTGTCCTTTTTATTATTTTAGGTTTCTACTTTTTAGTGGACATTTTCCTAACTTCACCTGTAGCCTATGTTTACCCGAATCCATGCTACTCCGCCACGGTGGATATGTTAAACTAGCTTCAACTTTGCAGCAAATACTTCAAACTATAACTTACACCATGGACCCTCATTTGGTAAGGTTTTTGTCCTGAAGTAAGAAGTTTAGTACCATCATTTATACATAATTGTGCAAAATGATTTTGTGGTGAGGAAACAATTGTTGCTATTCTGCTAAAGCTACATTTTTAAGCCTAGGCTGTGTGCAAGCTAGCAAAGCTGCAAACAAGCTAAAAGCTCAAATGATTTATTTTAGTCGGTACATTTCAGTATTTGGGGTATTTGTTTTAAATTACTTTGCTTTATCCTAGAGTTTTGGGGAAGTTACTTGTCTTTTGAATAAGTATTTTTCCTATACAAGAGAACTAGACACATGTGAAAAATGCATTTTAATTCTGACAATAAACTCAAATAAACCCTTAATCTCAAAATTAAGAATGAAAACTCAAAATTCTTAGTTTTATATCAACATTCTTACTTTTTAACTCAGTATGCTGTCTTCATGTGATCCTAACTCAAATTCATTTTTCACATAATCCTCTTCGGTAACGTGTAATTTCATTATGTAAATGTTACTTGGAATAGAAGGTCAACCAAAAACACTATCAACAGTTCATTATAATACAATCAAAGCCAATTTGGTGTTTTTCCGCCTTGAAAGCTCCTGCCAAAGCTGCAAGGCATCATATTTTAAATCAATATTAATTCCCAGGCCTACAGGTTAATTTCAAAATAAATTAAAGTAGCCCAAGTACAGCTTTTACCCTCA